TCTATCTATCTATCTATCTGTCTGTCTATCTATCTGTCTGTCTGTCTGTCTGTCTGTCTATCTTATCTATCTTATCTATCTATCTAATCTATATCTATCTATCTAAACTATATCTATCTATCTGTCTGTCTATCTACTATCTATCTGTCTGTCTGTCTGTCTATCTTATCTATCTATCTATCTATCTATCTATCTGTCTGTCTTTCTGTCTGTTCTATCGTTCTGTCTATCTGTCTATCTATCTATCTATCTGTCTCTATCTATCTATCTATCTGTCTGTCTTTCTGTCTGTTGTTCTATCATTCTGTCTATCTATCTATCTGTCTGTCTGTCTGTCTGTCTATCTTATCTATCTATCTATCTATCTATCTATCTGTCTGTCTGTCTGTCTGTCTATCTATCTATCTATCTATCTATCTATCTATCTATCTATCTTATCTATCTATCTGTCTGTCTGTCTGTCTGTCCGTCTGTCTATCTTATCTATCTATCTATCTGTCTATCTATCTATCCGTTCGTCCGTCCGTCCGTCCATCTAATCAATTGTAATTCCCCCAACAAACAAAATTTAATTTTTTTGGGGGGGAAAGGGTGTTTTTGCTTTTTCCTGCTTCCAATAATAATGAGTTCATACCAATAATTTTTCAGTAATTAATGGGTCGATTATATATTACTTTTCAAAAATGCTATCAATCAGCCGATACCAGTATGGCCAACGCTATATTGTGCATCTCTGTTTGGCTTTTTATTTGTTATTTCTCATGTGTGTTTTGTAGATATTTCTCTGGACTGTCCTTCATTGCGGTTCTGTTGTGTTACGCTGTGTTAAATTGTTCTTCTTTTGTCATTTTGTTTTGTAGTTGCAGGATCCCCACATGTATGATCAGGTCTATAAATATCTAGACCTTCCAGTGCAGGTATGTGAACATCAGAGACGCTTCAATCTGCCGTATGATCACTCGCTCGGCCGCTTCATTCTGACCTGCACCGGGAACCAAACAATCACCGTACGCCACGCAGGCGCTGAGACCATGCCGCTTCATCTGGAAAACCATTATTCTAGGGCATACGAAAGTTTGGGACCCCCTTGCAGAATCTGTGAAAATGTGAATAATTTTAACAAAATAAGAGAGATCCTACAAAATGCATGTTATTTTTTATTTAGTACTGTCCTGAGTAAGATATTTTACATAAAAGATGTTTACATATAGTCCACAAGACAAAAAAACAGCTGAAATGATTAAAATAACCTTAATAACTAAAAAAGGTTCAAACATTCACTGATGCTCCAGAAGGAAACACGATGCATTAAGAACTTTTGAACAGGATGAAGATGTCCAAATTTTTCTGAAATATATATATATATATTTTTTCCATTTAGTACTGCCCTTCGGAAGCAACAGAAGATGCTTGCACAATGATCTATGCTAAGCTAAGCTAAAAGTGCTACCGCCAGACCCGGAGATCGGCTGAATGGATTCGAAAACGGTAAAACTCAACTGTTTAACTCTAGGGGAGTTGGAAAATGAGCCTATTTTCAAAAATAGTGGAGTGTTCCTTTAGGAACCAAGGGTTCCCAAACTTTCGAAAGGGGTTATTTTTATAATTTCAGCTGTTTTTTATTGTGTTGTGGACTATATGTAAACATCTTTTATGTAAAATATCTTACTCAGGACAGTACTAAATAAAAATTACCATGCATTTTGTATGATCGCTCTTATTTTGTTAAAATTATTCACATTTTCACAGATTCTGCATATATAATATTATATTATAGATTTTATTAATAATTTGAATTATTTTTCCATTTAAAATTTTTCATTTAAATTTTTTAGCAATTTAGTTGTTTTTTGCCATTTTAATTTACATTTTTAGATTTTCCATTTTCATTTTAATTTTATTTAAAGTTTTAATTTAGTTGTGTTTTTTCCATTTAATTTTTCATTTTTATATTTACATTTTTGTTAATTTTGTTTTGTAATTTAGTTTAGTTTGTTTGCCGTTTTAATTTTTAGATTTTCCATTTTCATTTTCATTCCAATTGAAGTTTCAGTATTTTAGTTGTATTTTTAATTTTTAATAATTTAGTTGTGTTTTTTTATTTTCATTTTAAAGTTTAGCAATTTAATTGAAAATTTTCTATTTTCTATTTTAATTTTAGTTAAAATTGTAGTAACTTAGTTGTTTTTGCCATTTTAATATATAATTTTTATATATTTTTCACCTTAGTTAAAGTTTTTGTAATTTTGTTATATATTTGCAATTTTAATTGTTATTTTTATATTTTCCATTTTACTTTTACTTTGAGTAATTTTATTGTCGTTTTAATTGTTTTTATTTCTATATAATTTTCATAAATGTTCATTTCAGTTGTAGTTATTTTAATGCAGTTATTTTAAAATGTATTTTATTTCAAGTAACAAAATTTTTAAATTAAAATTTTTACTATAAAGACCCTGTAAATTACACAAAAAAATGCATTGATAAAAACAATATATAGATGTGTATATGCGGTCAGTGATTTTTGAATTATTGAATTGAATGTATATTAATTTAATGCACAATAATTCAGTGTCTGTAATAAATTATTCCTTATCAGATATTTATTCAAACATATCTGAAGGTTAAAATAAAACTCAGTGTTTTCCAGATGATTCATCAGAGATCTCAGCATACGTGTGCATTTGGTTTGGCTGTTTTCTTTCACAAATTCTCTTCAACAGTCTTGATTTGGTTTAAGTCAAACAGAAACACAAGCCATCCAGATTTGTTTGTTTCCTGTCTGTCTGACCTGTCCAGCTTTTCCACGTGTGTGTGTGTGGTGTTACTTCACCTTCACTCTGAATCAGACGTTCAGTATGAATCAGGACTAAGTGTGGAAATGATTCGCTTTCATACCTTTAAAAACTGAACCTCCTCAAACCTCTGAATCCGCTCACATTTCACCCCTAAAATCAACACAAAAAATTATATATATATACAGTATATAATAATTCATACATACAATAATGAAATATATTTATAACAACAATAATGCAATGAATAATAATTATATTTTCTGTTGATTTTATACATTTATTTTATCCCCAAATCTATTTATTTATTTATTGTATATACAGTATATGAATAATTTCTTAATTAAATGGGGGGGGGGGG